GGGGGGAGGCTTGGGGAAGCGGGTCGCGCCCCCACCTTGCCCGGCCGCCGGCACACGTCGGATTCCTGAGTGCTCTCGCCGGCTCTTGCTTGGTACAAACACGTCCTCGCTCGCTTCTCGCAGGATCCGTTGCCCTTGTCCTGACCTGGGTGCCAGGCACTGCCGCTTGGGACCCCCTCTGCCTCCGGGCTCTTGCCTTGTTCTGTTCTAGACCTTGTTTTGATGTCTGGTGACTGTTTGTTTGCATCCAGCCAGGCCCAAGCTCGAGCTTTGTAGGATGAAAGATGGGTATATGGGGGTGCAGTTGTCCTTTCACTGTTTCTCTCTCTCTTTTTTATGCTTAAAGCTGGAGTTTAGAGCAATAATACCCTGTTTTGAGACTTTGATTCTGGCCTTGCCTCCTTCAGAGTTGAGTAACTGAAATAATCTTGTAAGACTCCTCTGAGTTGTAGGACTTGCAAGTCTGCTCCTGTGGAGCATGTCTAAAGCTGGTGGCTTCACTCTGGGGGCTAAACCAAAGCTGAGCCCCACAAAGTGGCACCAAATCGTCTCCTGTTGTATCTAGGCTCACTGGAGATGAGACTGAAGGCTGTGGTGGGGATATTTCATTAAAACATGCTGGCAATTGGGCTAATGCTCTTCTGTGGAGGCTTTAGTCACTGTCTTTAGCAAACTTCATCTTCTTCACCCCCCCCCCCCCCCCAACTTTGCCAAACACATTCTGTTCTTCTTTATGGCAGGTGCTAAGAGAAAATATTCAGCCTGTCATTACATCTAGAAATTGACCTGTAATCAAAATAGCCTTAAAAATGATGTGAGGTTTTAATGTTGTTGGCTATAGCCATGTTGGCCTAAGGACATAGGCAGGCAAGGTTCTTTGGTTAAATGTGATTTTTTTTTTTTTTTTTTTTTTTTATTAGGCCAACTAGATAGTTGGAAAAAAATGTTCTTTGCAAACTTTTAGGCAGAAACGCCCAATAACACTGTATGTATGCTTATAGCTTCTCTATATGAGGGATGTTCCTCTTGACTGAGTTCTGTCAATCCGAGTACTTGATGAAACGCAAGTGCATGTTCCAAACAGTTCATTTTGATCCTGGCTAAGCCTGTCGGTTTGGTTGTCCTCGCCTGCTCCCCAGCATTCTAGAGAACCTGCTGCTTGTTACCACAACTAAGTTTTGAATAGCTTCTGTCTTTCTGAACACTTCATTTTGAGGTGTAGATTCAAGATGCCTCGTCTCTTCTGCATGTATTTCAAGTTGGAAGGAAAGATCAATCTTCTATTGAAAAAAGATTGCAAATAGGAGTTGTGGTCCCTAAACTGAAGTGTCTTGCAGAATGCTGCAAGGGTGAAGAGGTAGATGGCAACAATCTGAAGTTCCCAGATCTAAAATTCAGTGGTGATCATCTTGTCCTCAAAGGCTGCTTTTCCAGTAAGCATGGTGTAATCCTTCAGTCTCAAAGTTCATAGCTATAGTATGGAGTTGCTAGTCAGAATATTGCTTGCATAATTAGA